CACAGCGTTATGACTTGCTACCTACATTCCATGTTTAGCTTCGAGTGATCAGATGGTGCAAGCAATGTGAGCTAGCAGTGCCTGAGGACATGCAGCCAGGCAACACGTCCTTTCCCTCTGTAGCTTTGGTTTCTTTTCTCTGCTTCTGTCCCATCCTGTCTCCTTAAGGTGATGCGTTTTACAATAAGTACCTCTCTCTGTAGGAGGTCAGCTGCCCACGTGGAAGCATGTGTGCCATTCCCACTGTGCTGATGTTAAATCCAAGGGCCCAAGGTTTGCAAATATTGTTTCTAAAGTACCTGAGCGCTTTGCCCTACTTACCCGGGGGCTCTAGAGCTGTGGTTGGTACATGTGGCACACGGTGGTAGACTGTTTCAGCATTGTTGCTGATGTGACTTAATGAAGCATGAAGGGGTAAATTTTGTCTTTGTGCATAGGGAAAGGGCCACTGACAAATGTTCACAAACAAACAAATGAAAATTATGCTTAATTCAGCCATGTAAAGACTGAAGGAGGTGGGCAGGGACTGGGATGTTTTGGAGTCATGTTTGTTTTGTGCTTAGCGCTGTGCAAAAGGTATACACAGTCCTTGATGTAGGAAAAATTGGATAGGTAAGCAGAAAATTACTAACTCATTGCCTGAGACTGCTCTTGCTCTTCTGCCGCCCTCATCCAAGGATGCCATGGGAGAGGTGTGGTGCAGACATTTTGATTGTGGTAGTTTATATTATTGTGAACTTATTTTCACAGGGTTTAATCACAGAACTGAACTTCAGGTGGACTTCTGAATGATAGGAGTGTTTTTTTATGGCAGAGGGGTTGCTAGTAAGCTCTGAGCTGGAGAGAAGGCAGTGAGGGGGAGTAGGAGGAGTGAGTCTGGAGATGGAGCCAGTTGTGGGTTCATTCTGCTACATCTTTTCATCTTTCCCTGGTACTGCAGCACCGCGGGAGTAGAGTTACCGACAACATTCTTGCTCAGGTCTCTCATCCCTCACTCAAATAGAGGGTGTAATTTGACGATGTCTCAGCTCCCCTGTGTGAAGGCTGTTGATGAAACTATATTTATGTATGTTTTTAAGTGAAAAACAAAAACCAACCCAAACTAGTGCAAATCCCAAATCAGATCAGTTCCATGATCCTGGATCACGGTGTGGTTGTTCAAACGCTAGGACTGGCACAAGGCTGGAGGGAGAGCACGTGGCCAGAGCTGCAGGGTAAAGTGAGGACTGGCAGTCTGTCCTTCTGAATGACAGCCGTGGCTCACATCAGGTTAAATCAGTCTATACACTACAGGCTGAGGCGAAACAGAATGGATTAAAAACAGGTTTTTGCTTCTAGCCTCGAGTTTCCTGCAATTCTGCATCAGCTTGTGGGGGTGCATGTATTTCTGCATCCCAGCTGCCACTGAATATGAGACATTTTGCAGGACAGTTCTCCTAGTCTGAAGTTTTCCTTATTCGAACGGCTGTGTCCACAACTTTCACAAATAATCTGGATTTTTATCTTCTCCTTCTCCATCCATATCAGCTGTTATCGGCTGCAAACAGGTTAACAGTGAGGCCTGCCAGGCTGCTTAATGGGTGGCCTGGCTCTGCCTTTGGGCTGATGCAGATCATTTCTATTGGCCAAGGTTATCTCCTGCTGACCTTGTAGCCAGAACTCAGCATCTCAGTGGCACGGTAATTGTGCAAAGGAGGGCTTCTGAAAGAATTCCTAAGGGCTGGAATATCCTTTCTGGTTTTGTAAATGCCTTGTTTTGTTTTCATCACTGCTCTGAACGGGAAAGGAAAGTGCCTTGATGTTAAGTTTGCAAATTTGGAGGTCATGTTTGAAGATTCTTTTCTTATAAAATGCACCGTGGAGACTTTACAAATTCAGTATGGCAAGAGGCTGCTGTACCACAACTTGGCTTAAAAGCCCACTTTTTCTGCTGTACTTTCTTGGTTGCTTGCTCACTGAGCATTGATAGCTTGCTGTACATGATACATGGCATCTGATTTCTTCCTAGCTGTAGCCTTTTGTACCAAAATGTCTTTTCCCTTGGCTGCAGTTGGTTCAGTTTACTGGGCTAAATGTGTTTGCATGCTTTTGGGATGAAGAGGGACTTCTGTTAGCTGTGTAATGGAATGAGGCACAGGGATTAATGGGGGAAATGGGGAGAGAGGGAGGAGTTGGGTGGGTTTTCTTTTTTTTTTCTAGAAGCATCAGGCTCCTCCTGTAGACAGAGAGCATAGTACATGGAACCTAAAGACCTTTAAAGTACATACTGAAATGGATGCTGGGAAGATACAGTACAGTGCTTGGGCACAACTCCAAGGCTCCCAAGGCAAGTAATATTTAAACAAGCTGAACAGCCCCTTTCGGCAAGCAGCAGGAAATCCAGCACTGAGCTTTGTGTTGTTGCATGGTCAGCAGAAGATAAAAGCTCAGGCTATGCAGCTGGGGTTCCCCTCCTATCACTGGATTGCAAACTGTTAAGAAAAGATAAAAGGACAGAAAAGAACAGGGGGTCGTCTTATTGAAAAGCATTCCTTCATACTTTAAGCCATCGAAGTACTTTGAAATGCATTGAGGCTGGTGTAAGTCAGGAACAGCGCCATCGGCAGCTGTTGGGGTGTGTTGGAGCTTTTGCATCAGTTGGCAGGCAAAAGGTGAATCTGTCCCTCCGCTTCATCAGAGATAAATGTTTAACATGGGTAGGATTGTGATACGCATAGGTGCCTCACCACGAGCCTCACAGCAGGCAGCAGCTTCCCAGAGCATTACTTTAGGAGCAGGGCATGTAATGGTGGGGTGCTGCTGGCTGGGGGTTTCATTCTGAAATGCAGCAAGCATTCAGCCATCTATAGCCTTTCCAGGTCCCTTTTTCTGCAGCTGATCCTTGGTTGGGGACTATTATAACAATGAGGAAGAAAATGTAAGTGATTGCCAGGTCAAGTGGTGTAATTGTTATTTAGTGTATTCCTCCCCTCTTTCCTTACTCCTTTCTTCCTGCATCACAGCTCTGGTGTCTTGGGAAAGAAAATGCTTCAGAGCATTTGTTACCAATTTAGCAGCAAGTACGTGCTCAAATTTGGGATTTCTGAGATCTGTGTGTGCCATATGTAGGCAAAATGTAGTATTTGCTAGTTCCAGTAGAAGGGAACAAACACAAATTTGCTGTTCTGCAGATAGTGTTTCTTTAATCTAATGAGACTTATATTTGTGCAGCCTTTTTGTTTTGGTAAGACGGTTAAACGTCCTCCCTAGGGTGCCTAATTGCTTATTATGAACTAATCAGTCCCCTGGGTATATGAGGGGGATGAAACTCTGCCAAGATAGAACCTGTGACTTGCCCCAGAGGTGTGATAACCCTCCCAATTACCCCACCCTTCAGGGAGCTTTCTTTCTGCTATTTTAAAGACTTTGTTACTTTCAAAATTACCCATGTTTGGAAATTTTGGGAAATTTTAATGGAGTATATTTGCTGAGAAGCCTTTGAACTTGTCAGCTTTCCTATTTTTTATGTCAGTTCTGTATTGAGTAATATTTCAAGTTTGGTGTCAAAATGCTGAACATGTTACTGCTGTCACTTCTGTTTATGCAAGTGCCTACCCCCATAGCCTTTGTGGCATGCCAGACCCTAACAGATGAGGAAAGGGCCAGTTTCTGCCTTCAGCTGCCAGTAACTAGGGATGGCAAAATCTTCCAGCTTCAGAAACCCCCTGTGAAGTTCAGATGAAGGAGTGAGTGAAACAAATCTGGTGGTGACTCTCTTCTAAGTTTTGGTAGAATGATAGTTGCACATTACCATGTGTGAAATGAGTGGGCAGATTCAGAAAAGTTCTTTACCTTACAGTAAAAAATAATTTATTTAACTGGTGGTTTTGGTTCCTTTCTCCTTTTGGTTTCTTGTTTTAACTCATTCAAATACATGCTTGTCTGCTCTACAGGTTGAGACGGCTACAGATTTCTTGAATTCTTCTCTTGTATTTTTTATATTGAAAGGTTGAGTTCCATGAGGCATATAAAACTTACCACAAAACAATAATGTCTGAACTGGAAGTGGAAAACAGTTCCTGCTATTTAGTATCTGAGTGAAAGTATGAGTTCTGGTGTTGAGGTTTTCATTGTCCTTTACTGTTGCTCTGAATGAACATCATTTTTATGTGAAGTTTGGAGGGTGTAACCTGTTGGTTGGGTAGAAATACAGTTTGTTCCCTGAAAGAGTTGTAACCTAGTCAAAGAACAATATCAGATTTATTTTTTTCTTTTGTGCCTCTTCTAAAACACAAGGTCGTCTTCCTCACCTCTGGTCGTAGAGTAGATTTTAAGTGACCTTCGCAAGATCGATGTAAATACAAATGTTGCCATAGTATGTACTGACTTAAAACTGCGAAGCAAGGTGATTCATGCTTAGAATTTAAAGAAAGTGACTCTGTGAGTGTGCGTGTTTATATGACTGAGAAAATGTTTATGTGGAAGCATCACTCCTCAAAAGAAGTGTGACTTTCAGTATCGTAGGTCTGATTGTGATACTTAAGTGTTGCTTCGCTGTGCATGTATGAAAGACATTAGTTGAGTTTTCACTGGCAAACTCTTGCAGTACTACTGCAGAAATTGGGGTGGGTGCAAGTGGGTGCACAGGCCAGTTGATTGTTTTGTTGTTGTTGTTGTTGATTTTTATCTACTTGCAACTACTAGTTTACCCTGAATTGAGTTGAACCTATGCATAATTCATATTAGTTTGTTTCAGGCTAATATTTCGGTGTATTATATGTCAATGGGAGTCAGCAGAAGGAAATTAACTTCTTTTTTCAAACGTGAATTGTGTGAAGAATTGTTGTATCATCTGTCTGATGGCAATGTGTGAAGCACTAGCAGTGGAATTGGTTTTTTGGAAGAGGAGGGTGGTTTTGGACTAGCAGCAGATGCTTTTGGCTGGAAGAATAGCAACTTGAAACTTCACTTACTGAAGAAACCTGTTCACAATTTTGTCTGTTTTTTTTTTTTTTCCTCAGCGTTCCTGAAATAAACTTCCTGCAATTCTTTGCAGTGTGCAGGTGTCCAGACTCCCCTTTACTCATGGTCGCCTGTGAAACCCGTCAGGCAACTGAAGGCTGTACCTAAAATTCTGCCGGCAGTGCGAGCACACTGCAGTGGTCTTGGTATAGTTACGGTGGACACCTTGTGCAGCTACAGGCTGTAGCATCCCCTCGTAGTCCGAACAACTGAGTATTGCGGTCCAGGAGTCTACACGTGTGGAGGACTGCCTGGAGTAGAAAAAGGAAAGCTGCAGAGATTGTAAGCTGCTGCTTGATCCGTGTGGCTGTTGTGCCGAGGAACATCAAAACTTTGCTGGATGGATCCGACAGCTCGTTGCAAAGTAGAGGGTCAGTCTCGCTGGTTATTTGCAGTTCTTAACCTCAGTGGATTTTAATTTTTTTTTCTGTTTCCTTTGTTTTTATATTTTTCTCTGTATGCATAAGAGGATTGTGGCCTTGCAACCAGAATGCTCATGTTCAGGAAACTTAAGGCTGTTCCTACTGAAGGGCTTTGAAGATCAGCAGGCATTTCCTCCAGGGTTTGCAGCATTGTTGGAGGAAACAGTTGCTGCAGAAGTCTTCAGGCCTATCCACCCGACTTTGGTCATTCCTTACCTCACCAGCACGTGGATTATTCTGTTTGCAGACTGTCTAAGCTCCACGATGACCTCCGTGGATTCCTCATGAGCTTTTACAAGGCCAGGCCAGTGTACTTTGTAAAATCCTTTAGAAATGCCTGCTAGGGTTTTAAAGTCCCAGAGCAAAGGCTCTGCTACAAGGAACTTGGAGGGTCAGCAGCTGGATATGGTTGTGTATGAAGGGGGATTTGTGTGTGTGTATGCAGTTCTTGTTGTAAAAATACATATTTTTTCAGGTCAGAGAGAGGTATATTGTTTCTGAGAAGGCTTCTTGTACTCATCTGATAAAGCTGAGGGACTTCTGAATTCCATAAGAAATTGTTGAACTGGATCCCTGTGCCCCTTTTTTGCATGTGTGTTGCAGGCTATGAAAATTAACAGATGCATTTTCATTTTGTTGGTGTGCTGGAAGCACCTCCAGCAGGTTAGTTTCACTGTGTGTCCTTCAAAATAGAAAGAAAGCTCATCCTGAAGAGTACCATTGGCAAGTACCACTGCTGTTTAAAAATTTCCTAGTGGCTTTCCTGTGAGGATCTCAACTTGGAGAGGCTTGCCGGCAGTATCTATTGCTGTAATTAATTTACCTGACTAAACCAAGAAAGAAACTTTGTATTTTAGAATTTAGAGCTCTGCAAACAACCCCGAAGGCTTCCAGCTCAGCTGGTATAAGCCAGTGGGTGTGCTCACAAAACCGTGGCAACTTGTTCATCAGTGGTGGGAGAGAGATGTTTTTCTGAAGGGTGGGTTTCTCCTTCACCTGGAGGAAGCAGTAAACCTCAGTTTGAGTGATCTGTGGTGCTCCGCATCTATGGCAAATACATGTCTAGGACAAACCCAGGTAAAATTAAAACAGACAGTTTCTATCTTTTAACTCTGTTTCACCATAACAGGAGAATGGCAAGTGATGGTCACCTGTGCTTAATATCACATGGAGATTATGTAGGTGGTGTATATCTGTTCCTAGTCCTCAGCAGACTGTAGGTGGTTGACTTGAGTTTGTGCCTTGTACAGTGCAGGGCAGATGTTGGGTTTGGCTTGTGGCTCTGCAAAGAGTCTGCCCCATGTGGAGATACAAGCTAGGAAGGAACACTACAGGTTATCTTGCTAATGAAAAAGCTGTATATCCGCTTGGGATATTGCAGTTGGAGGCTGACATTACAAGTGCCTCCTAGGGTGGTGGGAGAGTGAGGGCTGCACAGCACATTTTTTAATTCCTTTGCTCCAGCACATCTCTCTCTCCTCCCTGTGGCATGTGGTTTCCCCTCTGAAAATTTCAAGCTAAAACTCTCTAATTAAAAAATCTATTTCAGGGCGGGGGAAGGGATATCATGTGTGTTTCTGAACTTTTCTAATTATCTTGATTATAGATTTTTGTTGTTGTTGAAGATTGTGATGAGGGAATAGTTCCTGTGCTGACCAGAAACAGAAGACAGGAAGATAATGATGTTAACAAGGTGGGGGAGAAAAGGAGGTGTTTGTTTAGAAGAAGCCTAGTCACTAAAGCCTGTGGGGCAGAGGAACCCTGCTGATAACACCGATGAAATAGTCTGCTTCTTTCCTAACTTTAGAGGAGTGGAGCTTTGTAATAAATGGCTGCCATGTGGCAGCTGTCTCCCAGCTTCGTGAGCCTGGCAGTAGATAATCCTGTCAGCAAGTCATGCTCCCTGGAAAAGAGCAGTGAGAAGAGCTGCAAACTCTTGAATCATTCTCCCTGCAAAATATTTGCATGTTGAATCTCTTTCTGCTTAAAACAAGTTTGGTAATTTGGTGGAGGTTCTCGTCTTTAAGTAGCATTAAAGTGCAGCTGTGTTGGCTTTTAAATGAAATGTTAGAAACGTGCTGAGATGTTGTGATTCTCTTCTCTCTTTAAAAAAGCCATTTTAGTTTTGAAAGGTGTATGTTCCAGGGTACAAAATGTGCTGTGTAGAGAAAGGATACTCTGTGTCGCTATCCCCGTGTGTTAAGAAATTACAGGTTGAGCATCTGAGGTCATGATGATCCTTAAAATCTTGAGACTTTAAAATTAATCTGTTCCCTTTAATTTGCTTTGTGTATTTTGCTGAGCGTGTGTCGCCTCTGTCCTTTTCCCACAACCCAGAAAACTAGAGCTTTGACTTAAAAAAAAAATGAGATTTTTGTGCAGTAATGTAGCACCATCAGATTTTTACAGGCTCATGGTAAAACCATAACAGTTGACAACACTACCACCAGGAAATGGGTTTAAATCCCTGTAATTTCTACTTTTTCTTTTCTCATTTGATTGTTATCTTGCGAGGCATAAAATGTTTTGGCATGCTGCCTGGTACAGTGCTCCAAGCTGAGAGTGTGCTGGCATCTCCTGCAAGGACAGCGTGGTCAGGCTGCAAAGGATGAGTTGGGGGCTCTGCAGGAAGCAAACTGATGCTCTCCCCCCTGGGCTTGCCTGTGTAAGGATGTTTGCTAGCGTATGGATGCAGTTACAGTGAAACGCCGCGTGGAACAGAGCTACTCCAAAAGGAAAGAATCTTTTCCTGGTTTAGCTTACCCTGTTTTCAGAGCGGGTTTTTTGTAAAAGTACCTGTGCATTCAGTCCCTCTGCGAAGCTCTCTTTAAATCCTCGTCTTGGAGGAAGAGGGTTGCAATCAGGGCACAGCACAAGAAGCAGGGCACTAGCACAGGAGATTTTCTGTATCTTCCTCAGTGTGATTCATCCTGCCTCTCTAATCCCTGCCGAACCCGTCCTGCACACACACAGCGCTGCCTCCTGTGAAGAGCTAGTGTGAGGGGGTGAAATGTTTGCTCATTTCTCCCTCCAGAGACTTGCCTTAAACCTTCACCTCGAGTCCTGGGTCCAGCGCTGCCCTTGGCTGAGCCGTCAGGGTGAGGAACAGAGATGGGGACAGGCCCTCCCTCCTTCCCCCCTCCTTCCCCAACAGCTGCAGGCACCAATTGCCAGTGAGCAGCCTGGCCGCATGGTTTTGTGGCTTTTCTTCCTCTGGTTACTAATGTTCCTTCTTGTTTCCGTGATGCTGTGCAGAGGAACAACCGGACAAATTGTCTCCTCTCAGGGTGGGTGCCCGGGCATCTGCAGAGCCAGTTGGTGTGGCACAGGAGCCCCTGTTTTCTCAGTGACACCAGGGGCTATTGATGGCAGGCTGGGGCTGTGCTGCTGCTGCACAGATGCCTGCTCTTGGCCCACCTTAAAAGGACAAGATATCCCGTGGTTCAGACTGGCCATATATTGTCGGGGATGTCAGCATCTCCGTCACAGCTACCCAGCTGAGCGCAGCGTCCTGCTTCGCCTGCCCTGCGTGCCTGCAGCCTCTCCCGGCCGGAGCCGAGGGGCGCTCTAGCTCACACTCTTTGAAGAGGAGGTTGCTTTTCTTTTCCATTACTCAGAAATGTTTTCCATCTGGCACTCTCTAGTGCAGTGCATCTAGCTTACCCCTTGGGCTTTTGGACAATTATTTTGTTCCCTCAGCACAGTGCTTGCTTAGCCATTGTAGGTGATGGGACATCAACCTGTAGCTCCCCCCCAACTCCCTCCAGGGTTTTCAGTTAACAGGGTTTGTCAGGGCAAGGCAAAAATGGAAAAAAGTCCAAACTCACAAAGCTACATTTTTGATTGGTTCCTCATTTGGCATCCCTGGTCCCCTCTTGCTTGTCTTGAGATGGCAGCAGCAGTAGGTGAGGTTTTGTGTCCCAGGGTTGTGCTTCCCCTGGGGTTGCTGGGTCTCCCCTTGGGCAGGAGCGTCTCCCCTTCCTACTGTTTGGCAAGGAGACATGCATAATGGGGTTGCCCACTGGTCTGCACTTTGGCTTCCTCTGCCCCTCTGCTCTCTTGCCTTGCCCTCAGGTCCTGCAGGGCCATGTGAGCGGTGGTGGTTTTGGCAGGCAGTGTGACACCACTCACCTGACCCATTCCTGCCTTTGTGAGATACCTCCCTCCTCCCTGCCGAGGGAAAGTGCCTTCAGGGCCCAGTCCCTCCAGTCTCTGGCTCTGCTCTGGGCTCCCACCCTCTCCCACACTGCATCCCAAGGTCATCCCGTTGCCTGGTGGGACTCGAGCCAGCCCTGGCCCAAGGGAGAGATGCGGCAACCAGACTAGGGAAGGCTGATTGGTGCGGGGAGAGACCCCGGGCTGTCTCCCAAGGAGTGCTGCCCTGCTGCAGCCAGTGCCAGCCCAGGGGGACGTGAAGGGACTTTCTCGGGTCGCCACTTCATCTAAGGCAAATAAACTGGAGTTAAAGCCAAGAAATACATTGACTTCCTGGAACTCTGCGAGCCGTCCGCACAGCTGTCCCTACTCCTTGAACACATGCTAAGCAGAGCTTATAAGGACAGACAGTATTGCTTTTGTGTCCCTTCTCAGCCAGTGGGGAGGGTGCAGGGGAGGGGATGTGCTGGGTAAAGCCCAAGGCCTGTCTTGTTCCGTGTTCCCCCTGCATTGCCGTGGTTCCCAGTGACTGGAGGATGCCAGGCTCCCTTCCCACTGGCCTCCTGATGGCTGCACAGGCAGGCAGGGATGAGAATGGAGGGGTGGTTGCAGTTGTCTGCATGGGAAGGAGTGGAGGCATGTCTGCTTACAGGCCCATGTTTTACTCTGCTGTTGCCCTGATTTTATTTTTTCCACCCAAAAGTGGTGCCCGTGGTCCCCGGTTTGTTAAGATGTCTTCAAATCTCAGTATCCTATCTTACTTGAACAAGCTCTTGAAGCTGACTGCAGTTTGG